GATGGGGCTCAGATATATAAGCGTGCCCCAGACTCTCCAGTCCTCGGGTTCCCCTTCTCTTTTGTCTATCCATCTTGTGTTCAACTCGTGAAAGGGACGAACTGCAATCATGAGCCATTACGATTCCGAGAATCAGGCCCCTGAGCCTACCAAGCATCACGGTGAAGAAGCCGGCGTCACCAACGATGCTGTCTTTGGAACAATCACCGAAGATGGCCCCAACTACCGAAACGTACGTCACCCGGTGCATGCAACACCAGAAGACACAGCTAATGAGAGCAGGTTGGTTGGCTCGGAACTTCAGTTCTGATGATGAAGTCCCAAATCGGTCTCGGCGTCCTGTCAATCCCTGCCTCCTTCGACGCCCTCGGTCTCATCCCCGGCATCATCTGCATGCTGTGCATCGCCGTCATCACAACGTGGTCAGACTACATCGTCGGACGGTTCAAGCAGCGACATCCTGAGGTCTACGGCATTGATGACGCAGCTGGTCTTGTGTTTGGACGCTTTGGAAAGGAGTTTTACGGTATCTCGTACTCGCTTCTTACGATTTGCATTGCGGGATCTGCTATGCTTGGTATTTCGATCGCTTTGAACAGTTTGAGTATGCATGGTACTTGTACTGCAGTCTTTGTGGCTGTTGCTTGTATTGTTGCGTTTGTTACCGCTTCGATTCGAACCCTTGATAAAGTCAGTTGGCTCGCCTGGGTTGGCCTCGTCACACTCGTCACATCCAGTAAGTCTCATTATCAACTCCTACAGAGACATTTCTAATAAACTATAGTCTTCGTCGTCACCATCGCCGTTGGTGTTCAGGACCGCCCTGACCTTGCCCCCAAGGATGGTGTCTGGAAGTCCGACTACAAGCTCTTCAACACCCCTACCTTCGCTGAGGCCATGTCTGCCATCGCCGCTTTCATCTTTGCCTACTGCGGAACTCCCGTCTTCTTCCCCATCGCTGCTGAGATGCGAGAGCCTAAGCACTACAAGAAGGCTTTGATCCTTTGCCAGAGCGTCGTCACTGTTGTTTACATCGTTGTCGGTATTGTTGTCTACTACTACTGCGGTACCTATGTCGCTTCTCCTGCTCTCGGATCTGCTGGAAAGACCATCAAGAAGGTCAGCTACGGCCTGGCTCTTCCTGGTCTGATTGTCTCTGCTACACTCTACACTCACGTAAGCCAACCCAACTCATCTTGTAATGACGATTGATACTGACATTGTGAAGGTTCCCGCCAAATACGCCTTCGTTCGCCTCCTCCGAGGCTCCAAGCACCTCACCGCCAACAGCTTCACTCACTGGGCTGTCTGGCTCAGCTGCACCTTCGGCATGGCCATCATCGCCTACGTTATCGCCTCCGGCATCCCAGTCTTTGGCGGTCTCGTCTCCCTTGTCGGCGCCCTTCTCGGAACACTGCAGTGCATGCAGCTCTTTGGCTGCCTCTGGCTCTACGACCACTGGGCCGAGGGCAAGGACAAGTCCCAGCGCACCACCAAGTGGACCATGATGGTCGGCTGGTGCATCTTTGTTATCGTTCTCGGTACCTTCCTCATGATTGGTGGTACTTATGGCTCTATCAAGGGTATCATCGACTCTTACAACGTGAGCGGCGGTTCTGCTGCTTGGTCTTGTGCCGACAACTCCAACTCTTCTTAGAGGGCAAAGACATGATAGATGTTTAGATGCAGTTATAGATGTTTTATAGATGTTAAATGCAAGCGTTGATAGAGTTCAGACAATGGCCTACCGAAATTCCGTGAACACATGAACAGTCTTCTCAAGGCTACAGACTGGACAATACCCCTTTACGCTTCGGCCAGTCACAGCTTCTCCTTCAATTAACTCACTCTCCACTCCCCCTTCAAATCTCTGTCAATCCTCTCAAACACCCCTGGCCCTTGCTTCCCCAAACCTGTCCCCACCGCCACAGCATAAGCCCCAACGCTCCTCATCCTTCGATAACCGTCCCCGTCACGGACTCCACCGACCCCGATGATCTTTATATGATTCAGTTCCGGGACTTGGTCGAGCATCTTTCTCAAGGTTGAAACGTTGCCGAGTGCAAGTGGGTGAAGTGGCGGACCGGCCATGCCACCAACACCAGTGCCAGGTAATTGGGGGTCTAGCTTGTCGTTCTCTAGAATAAGGCACGACCCGAGAGTGTTGGTAGCGGTGATGAAACTGAGGGACGATGCAGATGGAAGCAAGGTTTCAATCAGGGTTGCGAACTGTCCGTGGTGGGTATAAGGCGGCGTCTTGATTCCGACGGGTAAAGAGGGATTACTGGGGAGCAGATCAAGATATTTCTTGAGAGCAGCGCCACCATAAGCAGGCGGTGGCGCGCCTGGAATGTTTGGACAGCTTAAGTTGACCTCGATGGCCAGAGGGAAGGGAAGGGTCTTCGAAGCAGCCTCGATACGAGTATAGCTTTGTTGGATGTCTTCAGGCGAGCCCGTGACACTGACGATGAAAGTCTTTCTCATTTCGGGAAGGCGACGAGCGATCTCTGCTAAGAAGCCGAGATACCCATCGAGCGTGATGGGACTGTAGCCCAGGTTGTTCAAGCTCGCCATTGCATCTTCTGTGTGGCCCTTGGGTGGAATCTGGTTGTAAGAAGTGCCTTGATTGGGGGTCAAAGTCCCGGGATTGAAGAAGAGGTATTGGTGCTGCTCATGTTGATGATTGAAGCCCTTGATAAGCGACGTGCGGGTCGTGATAGCGCCTGTCGAAGGGGATGAAGCGATTGCCAGAAGATCGTTGATGTCGGTGGCCCATGGGGTTGCCGAGTTCAGTAAAGGCGGGTTAATCGTCAATTGAGGAGGCGCCATAGTTGCGACTTTGCGACGAGAAGCAATTGAGATATGAAGTTGAAGTTGAAGTTGAAGTTAAGATGAGGGGCTGGAGATTGCAGTTTGGTGATAAGAATCGCATTATGTAATCACGAGACAGGCCTTTCTCAATAAGGTACTCGAGGCCGCAAACAGTGCTCTCATGTTTGCTGGACATCAAGTGACTCTCAAATTTGTAAATTTTACTGATAACTTTACAGCTCGTCGTTACCCTGAGCCTCCCACGCTCGCTGCGCCTTAAACTGCTCAGGAAACCACTTCGGCGTCTTCCCCTCAGTCATCATATCAACCAGCGCCTCAGCGCTCCTATAAGCCCACGCCATCCCGTGTCCATTCATACAAACAATAGCCCACAGCCCATCCTCAGCCGGAACCTCACCAACCAGAGGGAACCCATCTGGTGTCTCACACACAATACCCGTCCAGTCCTGAATAACCTTCGTCGAGCCGCCCCAGTTCTCAAGCCCGTAGACCGTGCGGGCTGCGCCGTGGAGGACATAGGCAATCTGATCGTTGATGGCGGTATCATCGGTAATGTAGCGTTCGCGAGTGGGAGACATTTGTGTTGAGCCGCCGATCACAACACTGCCTGCGTTTTTGGCGCCTGGGGGCTGAGCGGCGATGTAGACATTGCCGCTGTGGAGATCAGGAACGCTGTTGCTTCGTCGGAAGACCTTATTATCGGTCGTGTTGGCGGAGGGTGTTACGGCGGAGACTTGATTACGGACAGGCATGGTGAAGTTGGTGCTTGCGATGCCAGGGTGCAGGGCAGGGGTGAAGCCGTTGGTAGCGAGGACGACTTGCTTGCTCTTGACGGTTCCTCGGTTCGTCTTGACTTCCCATCTTGCTCCAGCCTTGGTCTTCTTGCCGAGCTGGTTGAGACTCAGCGCCATTGTGTTGGTCTGTAGATTGAGACCTTTCTCAAGGCTGTACTCGAGCATACCGCAAACGGTATGGTATGGATTCTGAGTATGAGCTTTGAAGGTCACAGCTCCCACGATCTCAGGCCATCCCCAGTAGTCGCGAGCATCCTGATCTTTCCAGATAGTCCTCTTGTTCTTGGGAACGTCATTGGGCCGTCTCTTCTCAAGCTCATGCTGAAACTCGATGGACTCAACGGCTGTCTTGAATGAATCATCAGTCCAGTACAGACTGGCGGTCTCGACGTCTGTGAAGTCGCTTGAAACGTTGTGTGAGCGGACAAAATCGCGCACGTCGTTGACGCAATCCTGCTCCATGTTGGCGATTCGAAGAGCATCGTCCTCGCCATATGTCTCGACCCATGCCTTCACACCATTGTAGTCACCAGGTTTGCAATGACCTCCGTTGCGACCCGTCGCGCCTGAGGCTGCAGTGCGTGCTTCAATCATCAGAATCGATAGGTTTGAGTCGCGATCCAACAGCTTGTGTGCTGTAGCAGCACCTGAGATACCGGAACCAATGATGACATAGTCAAAGGTCTTCTCCGTCGGCAGATCCTTCGTACTGCGGAGGTTGGCGATGCGGTGAGGAGGATCCTGCCAGTAGGATTTTGTCGCGTTTGGCAGAGGCAATCCGGGAATCTTGAGAGGAGACTCATCAGGCGTGTCGCTTCGCAAGGAGTGAGGATGCGCGACGGCGAGAGAAATGACACCTGAAGCCAGAAGGATGCTGGCTGTTGCCACCTGAGACAAAGAGGACCTCATAATCGATGATTGACTTGACAGCAGAGGACCTTGGAGGAGGAAAAGCGAGGAAGCCTCGCTGTCGATCTTTTATAGCGAGTCAGCGCGACGAGAAGGACCCGGGCTTCAATTGTAGAGCCGCACCGAGATTCGCTCAACAATCATGGAGAAACATGACCGCCCGATAAGCGTCGGTTCCGTATACTCAATCAGGAAGGATATGATCAAGGTTCCCCGAATTTGAGTGGGATCGGCGGTTGTCGTGCGGGGTTCACATCCTGGTTATTGCAACGTTAGTATCTCCGTCACTATCTTATTTACCTCACAGTGGTACGATTCGAAAATTGGGTTGATCTACTTACCTTTTAATTAAACTAGATTTCAATAAACTACAGACTCCCGAGCGGAGAGTGTCTGGCGCCTTCCATGGGGCCACGAGAAAACACCAAACTCTCCTCAAACTACCGAAACAACCTAAGGAAACATTTACAGACCCATAGCATCTGCAGCAGATGGACTCGCGGCTCTGAGAGCAGACTTGACCTCTTCAATAGGAACGAACCATTTATCCTGCTCCGTGATCTCCCACCATCGGCGGTTGCCGCCGCGCTCAATGATCAGTCGTCGCCAGATCTCAATGGCCTCATCGCGAAACTTCTTTCCAGGTTCACTCTGCAACTCGGGAATTTTGACGTCGGCCGTATACTTCATCCATTCAACTCGAGGGTCAAACCGGTCGTTGATGATGAACTGATGGCGTCGTGGGCCAAACTCCTCAGTCAGCTTCTCACATTCCGTTTTGTAAGAATCCGAAGCGAGGCATGACACAGCGCTGAAGAGTCTGAACAAACCTTCATTCTCGCTCTCCTCACTGTGGTGAAGACGTCCAGTGAATGGAAGCATCTTCTGGATCGTGGTGACCGCCTCGGCAAGATTGTTCAGGGCCTCCCTCTCAATCTCATCGGTACAGTAGTCGTTTGACAGCAAATAAGCCTTGATCTTGTAGAGTTCGGCAATTCCTTCGGGATAATCGAGGCCTTTGAGTCTATCGCCGTGGCCAGTGAAAGGACCAAACTTTCGGCCGTAGAACTGGGTGTGAATACCGGCGACGATCCACTCCATGTTTGACACGGCACGATGCGTTCCTCGAGGAAGATCAGAGCCGAAACGTCTCCAGAGCTTGCTCCTAGCGGTCAGTGGGCCTTCGGCAACTGAGCGGTACATGAGAAAGTTCTCAAGGAGAGAGTTGGGGCAGTAGGATTGCATTGCAAGTTCGACTGCGTTGTCGGGTCCTGTCTCTGGATGACCTTGGCCAAAGCGATCCTGATAAAGATCAATTACGCCACCATTCTTGCACAGCATCCCAATCATGTGGCAGATGCCGTCCCGGAACTCGTCAGCAAACAGTGCATCTGCGGTCCATTTGATCCATTCAACCAAGTGGTCGATAGGAGGTCGTGGAGAAGGGTCAGAAGCCGAAGTCCCAACAGCCTGCAGTGTTTGATGTAAAAACAGCTTCAAGATATTCAGACAATCTTTGGTATCCTCTTCAGATTTGTATCGTCCCGCAAATCCGGTAATGACTGACTGCTCGCTGCGGTTTGGGTCTCGACGCTGCGTGGAGATCCACTGGGAAGAAGGTTGGAAACCAAACTTGAAGTAGCCTTTGAGGGTGAAAGGGAACTGCCCATTACGAAGTACACTTTTCAGGATCTCAGACTCGTCGCGTGGTACCGAAAGGAACGATGAATGAGCGCCGAGGACTTCCTCCTGAATCTCTTCAATATCGGCTGTGTCGAAAGAGGCCTTATTCAGGAATGAAATAAGGAGATGCTCTGGGAGGAAGAGAAGGGGAGACTTTCCGTTTATCTCAAAAGCGTGCGACATCGTTCTTGATTTTGAAGTGAAAATGTTTCTGTAACTTCTGGCGTGTTTGCTTGTATGGAGATAGTGATGAGTTGATGGATGTTGATGATTTGGAAATATTCTTTTGGGAGAGCCGCAACGACCTTTTATAGTCTGGAAACTTGGAGGAGAATTTGAGTCGGGAAAGCTCTCGCTTGATAAATCGGTCGTGTGCCGGAATCTGTTCGGGTGTGCGACTGTCATATTCAGGGGGTTTTGGCTGAACAATGAGACTGTCAAGGATTAGCGAGGTACTCACGTGGTCAATGGCAAAGAACACTGGAACCAGACTCTGTCGCAATTCCTTGCACAAACATGCTCTGCAGGTTTCAAGAGCATGATTATGCTGGATGCCGCGCGATGCATGGGACTGGTCCAAGCAAAAGGTTCATGTTGGTCGTTGGGAGTGATTGCTGCAGGTCTCAGACGGTCGACAACGTAGACAATGGCTACAAGGCAAGATGATGGAGTTGGGGCGTTGGTTGGCTTGCGGTTACAGCGGGTTAAACTTGCTGTAGGTGCCGAGAGAAGGCAACCGCCCTTCAAAAGTCATGTCACGTGTTGGGCTCTTCCCATCCAAGATCATGTTCTGTTCCCCTTTCCCTGCGTTATTGCTTGCGCTATCGCCCATTGCTTCTTTCAGGCTCGTGCTAGTGAGACTTCATTTTGTCTTCTCCATCTCGTCTCCTCGACCATCTTCGACGATCACCACGGACTCTCAGTCATCCGAACGCGTCTTTCGCTCCATCCCCGAAACGTCGTCTGGGCGCCAAAAGCACATTTTCCACTCCTGTCATCTTTTCGTTTGTCCTTTTCGTCGAGAGGTAGCACACCTACCACCGCTGACAACGTTACCTATCTCTGTACAGGTCCAACATCAGCCTGATCGAAGCATAGCAAGTCTTCCGAAGCTTGAACGAGATCCGAATACCATATTGCACCGCCAATTGCGAATGCCACCGACCTACTCCTGCCAAGATAGCAAGCTTCTGTCAGCAAGCCGAGCAAAGATAAGTGAAAGACTGAGAAGGCATTAAGTTCAGAGAGCCTTGACGGAGATCAACATCCCACAGGCTGCGTGCTCACCAACTAAAGACTCCATTTACAGTGAGAGAACAGGAAAGCAAGAACAGCCTACAGGTCGACATCAATCGACAGAGACATCCACACTCCGATAACTGAGTTTCCAAAACACGCACTTCCAAAAGATGACATAAAGCGCTCGAATTTCTCACGATTCTCTTCGACGATGCTTGAATTGAGATAAGCTCAACACTAAACTCAGGGTCCGAGCTGTATCGTATGCGCTGTTCACCCTCTTCTAGGAAGACCGCCGGGTCAAGATTCACGGCCACTCCTCTGAGAGCAATGTCAACGATTAAGAGCATGATGCCTGGGTGCCATAGAGCCGCGTGCTGTGATAGGGAACTATAGTAATCGTCCAGCTTTCTTCAGTCTTTGGCGAAGTCTGCAGAGTCGGGGTAGTCCTGCTCAGGGATGCGGCTGAGCCTTAGAGAGGTTAAGAACGCTGTAAGCTGCTGAACATGGTGGGATGAGCAAAAGAAAGCCTCATGTCCAGCTTCGACTGAGCACTGTGCCAGGGTTGCTGAGTCCTTCTCAGGCGATGACCCTACTTTGGCGACGAGGTTGGACTCACACAGCCTTCACATGGTGTCGCTCAGACTTCAGACAACGTCAGAGATATGAGCCAAAATGGGAGGAGACCATGATGGACAACATCCCAAGTCGATCGGTGTTACACAATTCTCACTGACTGTTTGCTTAGTGTACTTTAGTGGCAGCCCCTGGCTCCGAGATTCTCTCGTCTAACCAGACGATCAAGACCCGACCAAACCGTTCCGATGTGACTCCGATTCCCTAGTGGTACTACGACGATATAAAGACGTTAGGCTCCATGAAAAGGATGGATGCAAGTAATTTTGTTCGCCAATCGATTGCTTCCGTCTGCGGAAGGCTATGCTTGGGTAGCGCCCAACCGGCCGAACCGAAGTATCTGTACGTCCTCTTTGATACGCCGCAGGTATCGACCTCCTCTCGTACAGTATTTGTTGGCTGGAGTCATACGGCTCTAAAAGATATTTGAGAACCGTAGAAATTGAACACCTCATGGATACGCAAGAGACAGACGAGAAGACAATTGAAGAAACAAACAAGGACAGGAACAATTGCTTGTTGGAAGTTTGGCGACCTGGTTTAGCTGTATCACTGGGAACGGGAGGGACTTTTTCGGCTTTATGGAATGAATTCAAGATGAGGATTGGATACTCTCTGGCTGAAACCGAGGTGACACTGTCAATCGTTTAATAGCAAATATCCCACGCTTCAAAGCTCCTTGAATGTTTTGACCTAGATCCTAACTTTCCCCATCACTTGCCCTAGTCCTCACTACATACGCACCAACCAATATCCTAGCATTTTGTCTTGCAGCCTTTTTCACGAGGCTCTACCTCATTGCCTGGAGAAACAAGAAGCCTAACCGCAAGTGCAACCGTAAAGCGTTGATTTGTTGTCCTGAAGTCGATCTGGTATCACTGCTGCACCCATTCAGAGGCGTGCGATGCTGGCAGATCTCAAATCATCTATCATCTTTCGTCACTTTCTCTAACCATGAAAATTGCAGGGCGCAGTGCGTCTTCTCCGCTTGGCCAGCCCGCATTGTGTTCCCTCCTTCGCCAGTAAATGTCCAAGTGTCGGTTCATCCTGAGCTAGCCTCGGAAGTGAGAACGTTGGCATACGACAGTTGTATAGTGTGAATGGGAAATCAAGCGTGGCAAATTTGAACAAACGGCCCGTGGAGAAGCTTGGTGAAGGAGTGAGGGGTAAGATTACCACTTTGATCTAAGTTTGAACACACTCAAGGGGGGTGAACCGAATACAGGGGCACCATGAAACGAGGCTGATCAAGATTCGTTTTGATCTGAACATTTACCCGGCTCCGGCAACCGGATGATAAGCCACATCCTGTTCACAGGACTTTGACAGCAGCAGTCATGGCTACAGCGAGTTAGTGGTTCTATGAGATGATTGGTTGAGGCCTTTGCGAACGTGCATCTTGTGTTGCTGCCTCTCACTCCCGTTGCCACTGCCACTGCCACTGGTCTTCCCACTGTGAGTCCGACTGATCGATTCGCTAGCGAACATGGGCCCCTTGTTGTTGTTTACGAAGACTAGGCTTTCGCATTTAGCTCTCTTCTCTTTTCATCCTTCATCCTTCCCTCTTCACCCCTCATTTCTTTTTCTCTCCTCTTCATCTCTCAAACCTTCTTCAGCAGCATCTGATCTTAGCATTCAGCTCATATCAAGACGAGACTACAGAAGTCTCCAGGTACGCTACGCTATCGTCATCATAGGACATATCTAACATACAGTAGTGACAATGGCGGAACCGTCACTCGGAGCTGCTCCCAACCGTGATCTTGGGAGTACCTCGACTGCTAAGGCAACATCTCCGACCTTCCACGAATTCCGTCGCCTACCCCCGGAGTTGCGACTCAAGATCTGGAAGGAAGCTTGCCTGTCTCGCTCAACATACGAGAAAGGACTTCATTATGTCACCGTCGACATCGTGGACACTACAGGCCAATGGAAGGAAAGCAACGTCGATCCCGTCACTTCTGACCCCAACATTGAGGGTCAAAATTACGACTACGAGGGCAGCGCGTATGCCACTCTCAGAGCATTGGAGTGCCCGTGGGAGAAGACCGGCGATTCGCAACCTCCCGCCAACCCCCTCAACAAGTCGGCCTACCTCTGGGACGCAGGTCTTTGGTTAGCCTGCAAAGAATCGCGGGAAGTCATCGAAAAGCACTTGAACTTCAAGGAATGGCTTGCGCATCGAGGACAGGGTCGCCCAAGAGGACAGCCAACTTGGTATAATAAAGCTTTCCCCTCTGCGATTGTGCCCAAGACCAAGAATGACAATTGGTGCCCATTGGTCAAGCCGTATGGCGACATCTTTTGCATCGACACCTGCAATCTCGATGCAGTCCCTGACAGCTTTCTGGAGATGATGCTCTTGGCTCCTTGCCTCGGGACCAAGACCTTCACGGTCGTCGGAGCTTGGAACATCGGTTTCAAGTTCGAGCAAAGTTGGATGAACAACTTTCCCAACAAGTGGTCGGATCTCGTGGAGGAAGAAGATTCAGTCCGAAGTCGCCTAGCGTGGTCTCTGTCTTAGGATCAAGGGGCTGTTGGTGCTAGACCTTCACTATGGATCATTGACGACAACGTTCGCTGGGTTGCACGATCTCATCAACGATTCTCTACTGTGTGGCGCGACCTTGAAGACGAATATGTCGCCATCGGTTGGAACGACACTCGCAGCAACTTGGTTGATGGAACTCAAGGTGCTGTAGCCGATTTCATGACTGCCCTTGAACAACTTGCTGACAGGGAGGATTACTTGAGCGACTCGCTCCTCCTGTCAATGCGACTTCTCGTTCGAAAGGACAACAAGTTGCCGGGGTTCATTTGACGGAGGAGTTTGGGCATGACAAAGAACATGGAGAGTATGATGACGAGGAGAGAGAGTATGGAAGGGATGATGGGGACGACGACAGTGAAGAAGGAGATGAGTAATTTGATGTTGCTAAGCACCGTGGACATGGATATCAGAGAATGTCATGTATTTGGGTCTCACTCCAGTGAGCAACGGGAAAAGCGTATTGGGTCGGAAAGCTGAAAGGAATATTCTGTACTCTATGGTAGTAGCACACGAGATGTGATGAGATAGAGCAGATACCCAAGGGCAGAGTAATGGTCTTTTGACTCTGAGGTTCTACACAATGGAGCGCCAAATTCCTTTTTGCTAGTGGTGCCAATAGCACAGCAGATGATAAGGCTAGCACTGGCATTTCGTAAGCATTTTATCAAAAGCAGAGGCCATATCAATCTCAAGTTCATGCCGCCGGAACTATTCAATAACATAAAAGAGGCAACTTCGAAAGGAGAAGGCCCATCTCATAGGTGGTCAACTTTCAAGAAGTTTGGGGAACCCTAATTGGTTAAAGTGCTCAGTATCAAGTACAGCCTTGCCTCCTTCAAGTTTCAGATCCCCATATCAATATCCCCTTCCTCCTCTTCCTCCTATTCCGGTTCTGGTCCTGTACAAAGATCGATCAGCATGTCCCGATGAGCAAGGAATTGGACATCCATTGCTATGTCGAACGCCTCTTCCCAGGACCCGTACCACTCATCGTCGTACTCGCGTTCTTTATAATCGGGGTGATCCTCTTTACAGGCCTCGTCAAGATCATCGAGAGTGTGTAAAAACATTTTTACGTTTTTAAAGACTCCATCAAAATCGTGGGTCCTGTGACAGTGACGGCATGAAAAGTAAGGCCAGGCTGGGACGTAGTCTTTATCGTGATCACGGTATGGATTTGGCGTACAGGTCAAACCGGGCTCAAATACCCATTGACCATTCTTCACAATGACCCAAATATGAGGTGTATCTGAATCATTGAGGAATCTGTTGTGAAGGAGACGTGACAGAAATCCGCGGGCAGAAGTCTCCGACATGAGATCATAGTAGCTTTTCGGAAGGTTTTTATTCCAAGATTCGTCAAACTCAAGTGCAACGTTCTTGATATCCGTAGGGTATGATCCATTAGGGCTGAAGTATGGAAGTAGTATTTCCCACTCCTGACCATGGTCGTCCGGAGTTTTCCAGGCCTTTGACTTGACGCAAAAGATATCGCGGGTCGGATTAACAGGAGAGGACCAGCCCTCTCCATTCCCACAAATACTAATTCTCGCACAATCTAGGGCATCGACTCTTGAATGTTGTATCATAACATCACGGGACTCCTTGCAGGCTGTCCATAGTCCACCATTCCTCAAGCAGGCGGAGTTCTTGTCTCCATCGGCAAGACGCGCCGTGAGCGTGGGAGAGGAGGAAAGCATGCTTCCAGTAGAAATGGGTTCAACATCAATATAGTGTACTCCACGATCATCCGACGGGTAGGAGACACACGCTGTAATCCAAATCTGGAGCCGAAGCTCAGTTGGTAGCCTGGGGAATGGGTCGAATGAAGATGCCGCCATTTTGATCAGTTGTTTGCGATTGGAAGAGTTCGTAGCTGTTTGCAGTGGGAAGGCAGCGAAAGTGATAAGACATGGGCCTCGACCGTTGTTCAGAGAATTCTTCTTACGATTGAGAAGTAGGGGAGGAATAGAAGAGAGAAATAGCCCTTTTATGGTGAAAGGGAAAGTTTATGATGGTGATAAAACACTCGAGGCGTGACTCATGGCCGAAAGCTCATAATAGTCTTTGATTGACAGCGAATGGTTGGCATTTTGAGTTCTATAGGTGAAAAGAGTTTCCGCCACCATCTATTGAACTCCTAAAGTATCAAGGTCTGTAGCTTCTGAAACTTTAAGTTGTGGAATGCAGTTTTCGTCTCTTCATGTCATTGAAGCTCTCTTATGCTCAACCAGAATTTAAAGCTTAATCTACGGTGTGAATCTACAGCTGGTTTAGCAGATATTTCTTTGCTAGTGGTGTATGTTGACACTAACAGAGTTGAAGGTGAAGTTCTGATATCGTGCTGGCAGAGTCTTGAAAGGATAAGTGGTGCTTGCATGAGCGTCATTTTACGTTCTTGGGTAAGAGTACATATGGCAACAGTTTTATTCACATTAGATGTCAAATTCACCAGATAAGTCACTTTTTTGACGCATATTTCTCTTAATAACTTCAAGAAAAGCTACCTTTAGGAGCTCAAATCTTTAAAATGGCTGTATTTCTGTCTCATGAGTATAAAGTGATGAGCGTAGGACTGAGGGAGAGAATCCTCGCGTGAGATCGAGTGCCCCTCAAGGCCAAACAAAGACCAACTTATAAAAGTCCCCAGTTTCCGGGTTGGCCCTTGGATCCTCTACATCTACATGAACCCCGAGTCCCAAATTTCGTCCCCAGTAAGCATTAGCAACGGGAATCTCATGTTAACTTGGGGTCCCACACAATCCTCGATTTTCTTGTCCAAACGAGCGATATATCGGATGCAATCACTTGATTTATAGTCTGGTCGTATCCATTTCCAGTTAACGTGGTGATCGTGCTTGGTATTGGGACGATCCGGCTCACAGACCTCGCAAAGCTCCTCGAGCTTGTCTATGAAGCTTCTGACATTTGCAAAAGCTCCATCGGTCTCGTGCCAATCTTGACACCGAAAACATCTATAGTACGGCTGCACTAGGGCATAGTCTGTGTCGTAGTCCTTGCAAAACGAGCTCTCCCTAAAGTAAACCTTGGGAAGGTAGCCTGTCCAATGACCAGACTTTTCAATCAGGTAAACGTTAGGCTCAGTAGCGTACTTGAAGAACGCGCCGTAGAAAAACCGTGAGAAGAACCCTCGGGCAGAGTTTTCAGATGCCAAATCGTAGCAGTTTCCTGGAAGATCCATGTTCCAGCTCTGGTCGAATTCGAACGCGATTCTCTTGATGTAGACGTTCTGGGGTCCTGTAGGGCTCAAGTGTGGGATGGCCACCTGCCATTGCTTATTGTTTCCATCAATAGCTCTCCATTTCCAGCTCTTCGACTTGATACAAAAGACATCCTTCGTTGAACAAACAGGAGCATCCCAAACCTTTTCATTCTCGCGCATGCGGAGTCTCGCAGGGGGCAGGGACATATTGCCATAAGGATACTTGAGCCAGTATTTTGATACAGCCTCCCGTGATTCTGCGCAGGCTGTCCATAGCGCGTGTGCCAAGCAGCCCGATTTGTCATCTCCTTCGGCAATATCCACCGTGGATCTGTGATATGCTAAGAGCGTATTGCTGCCAGCACTAGGCTCAACATCAATGTAATGCATCCTAGATTTGTGAGGATCGTAGAAGATGTATGAAAGACATGCTGCGTCCCAGATTTGCAGCCGAAGCTCAACGGGCAGTCTTGGGAATGGATGAAAGGAACAGGCCATGTTGGTAAGGTGTCTGGGATTTGGAGAGTTGTAGCGCTGTTTGATAGTCTGGTGACCTGTGTAGAGTCTACAGGATATTCTTCAAGAAGAGGAGCGAAACGGGAGCTGAAAGGGAGCCACTTTATAGTTCATCGAAATCTTTGGACTTTGGTGAGAGGCTGGTTAGTGACTCTATGCCGAGAACTTAAAGCCATATTTTACCAATTTATAGCGAATTATTTATGCTTTGAAGTGTTGTAAGCGAAATAAGTTTTATGGTACAGCTTGATAAACCTCCACGCCGCGGATTCATCGGCTCTAGAAAGTTCAAATCTAGCAAAAGGGATCTATCTCCCTTCTCAATGATACAGGCAACGGCCTCTCTATAACCCAGAGGACTCAGAAGTTTGATCTGCCGTGTTACTCAACAATCTCGCGGGCAAGGTCTCCCCTATCAACGACTGGTCGTTCTTCCCGACAAGTCAGACCGGAAGAAAGCCACAGTCATCGGTTCAGCTTGTTCAGTCGATTGACAGTGGGAACCAGCATTAACGTCAAGCAGGTAGTTCTAGCAAACCTTATACCCAGTCACTCGGAGACCGAGAAGATACGCCGGTGATGATGCAGTGAAGCAATGGCACCCCTCGGGCTAATAATAAGGCGGAGTAATTCATTGCCGCTTGAAAAACTATTATATTAGTAACAGCGTTCACGATACCCTCCATGTACCAATATCGTAGTCGTACCTCCCTGTTCATCACATGCATCACCGTGGCATTGGTCAGTGACCATCCCGCCTTACGTAGCATCTCCACCGATCAAACAAACTCAAAAACCGATTCCTCAGCTTTCTCACAATCGGATATACAAAATCTGACATATTTCCGACGCTAATCGCGATAATCTCCCATCTCGGATCTGGAATCTGCATTAATAATGGTAAAAATGCTGTGGTGGAGATCTGACAGCGATGGCTGCGGCGTTATTGGCTCGGAAGTACGGATCCTCGGATATACACAATCTTTCGGACTTGCTCGCCGCTTTTTATATACCTTGTCGTCATCCCTTGATAACGATGTTCTGGACAGATCAGACTCTCAGAATCATCGACAATGATGACTGAAACAGAAAAAGGTGAATTTGTCCTACTTTTGCTACGGATTGGGGGCTAATTTAGTGCAGAGCAAGGCTTTATGCCTGATCCCGAGAGGGACGCGCCGTCAGATAACAACACGCTCACAGGGCCCGACGAGGAAGCAATCTCAAGAACAAAGTCCAACGTCTCAATAGCTGAGACATTCTCACTCCCGCGCGAGATCCTCTTCGTGGCGATCATCTGCATGGCGCAGTTCATGACACAAGCCGCGCTCGGAAACTGCCTCAACATCATCCACATCATCGGCGACTCATTCAACCTCACTAACCCCGCGGAGCTAAGCTGGCTCATCGCTGGCTACTCCCTCACCGTGGGAACCTTCATCCTCTTCTCTGGCCGTCTCGGCGACATCTTTGGCTACAAGCGCCTCTTCATCATTGGTTTTGTCTGGTTCGCTGTTTGGTCCATGATCTGCGGGCTGGCGAACTACTCCAACCATGTTCTATTCATCTTTGCGCGCGTGTTTCAGGGCATTGGGCCTGCGCTTGTGATGCCGAATGGTCTCGCTATCCTGGGCGCCTCATACAAGCCTGGCGGTCGAAAGGCTGTTGCGTTTGCGCTCTTTGGAGCGTGTGCACCTGGTGGGTGTGTTTTTGGCGCGCTGTTTGCTGGGCTTTTTGTTCATGGAAATCCAGCGTGGTGGCCTTGGACTTACTACTCTTTCGCGCTTGGGCTGGCGTTCATTGCGTTGATGGCGTATTTTATTATCCCCGACCCTCCTCACAAGCTTTCATCCGCTGATATGAGCTGGGGCGACATCCTTGGTCAGCTTGACCTTCTTGGCGCGTTGACTGGTATCACTGCTCTTGTCCTCTTCAACTTTGCCTGGAACCAAGCTCCCATCGACGGCTGGGACAAGCCATATGTATTCGTTCTTCTCATCGTTGGAGTGCTTCTGGTTCCCGTCTTCTTCTACGTCGAATTGCGCGTCGCGTCGCATCCTCTCATTCCCTTCGATGCTCTGACTAGTGACGTCGCCTACATCCTGGGGTGCATCGTCTGCGGCTGGGCTACTTTCGGTATCTGGGTGTACTACACTTGGCAATTCTTCCAGATGCTTCGCGGCTCCTCACCTCTCCTTACGAGTGCTTGGATGAGCCCGGTTGCTATCTCTGGAGCGTGCGCCTCACTGATCACCGCATGGCTTCTTCATGTGTCGCACCCTGCTTTGGTCATGCTGCTTGCTCTCACCGCTTTCACCACTGGTACGATTTTGATGATGACAGCACCTGTCGAGCAGTCTTACTGGTACCAATCTTTCTTTGGCCTCGTCATCATGACTTTCGGTATGGACATGTCGTTTCCCGCTGCGACTCTGATTCTCTCCAACTCCGTGAAGCGAGAGCACCAAGGCATTGCAGCAAGCTTGGTCAGCACGATCGTGAACTACAGTATCAGTCTGGGCCTCGGATTTGCTGCTACAGTGGAAGTCAACGTTACGAATGGTGGAGATTCAAAGCACGAGCTATTGATTGGTTATCGGTCTGCCTTCTATATGGCTGTTGGTTTCGCGGGCCTGGGACTCGGTATCAGCATCATCTACTTTCTCAAAACAAAGTGGTATCAGAGGAAGGGGAAGCAATGAATAGGGAAGTTATAGACTGGCGGTTCCATGGACACATGTTTGCGGAGGGACATTGATAGATTATGACTTTATAGACACGGCCTAGAGCCCCATGATAGAATTCATGTCATTCCAAGAGCATTCATTAGATGATGCGCGTGTCGTGGTGTCACACTGTTCACGAGAGCCTGGCTGGTCTCGCCGTGTCATGGTTCAGACCCGAGTGGCGGCAACTGGCTTGCCCCAGTGATAGGAGCCCCCGCAAAGACGGCGCGGCGCGTTCTGTCTCGTTCAACTCAATGACGAATGCTCACCCGAACATCACCTTACCTATTCGAGCAACAGATTGATGGAGTTCTCCCGCGCCCGATTGACCACATACCAATTTGACTCCCCGCTTACCCTCCAATGCTACGCAAGCAGCCTCCGTAAGCCCTGCTAAATGGTGTCGTCATAGGGCTGATGGCCTGCCGAATGCGAAGTGGACCTCGAAATGCGAGCCAATCATCAACTTCTCGATCGCCAACCGTTGATGGCTGCGGAATCAATCGGCGCTAGGACAAAATCCCCCTGAACGTGTCGTTTTGCGAGTGCGATAAGCAAGTGCGTAATACGGTCATTCCTCCGATTGCTATTTCCATCTTCTTCTGTACCATCGTTGCGTTGGTGATAAGATGCATCGCTCACGTTCGCATTGTCAGTGTTTTTGTGCAAAGGCAGTGAGTGGGGTAGGGAGTCCCTGAATTGACAGAGGGAAAAGACTGGCTTTTCATGGAACATTGGGGGAATTGTGAAATTTACCAATAATTGCCCTAGATTCGTGATCATTGTCAAGACGAAAGAGCTTCTGTGAATAAGCCAGGCTCTCTTTTATCTCATCTTATCGCATTCGATCTTGGTTGATGGCAAAGTCAAGCTTTCGTCAGAGACCCACTAATCCCCTTTTGGTAACAGACTCGCATGGATCCGAGTGCGAAGACACGGGCACTAACTAACACTGCAGCCTCAAAACAATGCGAGATGCGAGATAGAGCAGTGGCACAATAATATATATATCTGTGTTCAGTCGCTTCAAGGACGAATTCTCCATCGCTACTCAAGCACTCCATCAACTAGCATTTTTATACAAACAAATACTCTTATCCTTCAGCAACATCAACCCCTTGCTCGCCCGCCAATCCAACAACCAATCCAACCAAAACATGCCTACTCAGCGCTTCAGAGCAATCATCGTCGGAGGCGGTCCAGTTGGCCTCACAGCCGCTCATGCGCTCTCCCGCGCAAATATCGACTTCATTCTTCTTGAACGTCGATCAAGCGCAGTCATTGACGCTGGCTCCAATCTCGTCCTCAACCCCATGGGCCTTCGCGCTCTCGATCAACTCGGTCTCGCGGCTCCTCTTGAGCAGGTCAGCTCTCCCCTTGGCCTGATCAACCGCCAAGACCATCAGGGCCGCGATATCGGAGATGCGTACTGGTTCATCCTGTTTAACAAACTGTGAGTTTTACCCTGTCTCCTGAGACTCCCCTCGACTAACGAGCCCAGACTTGGAACATTCCCTCGTGTAGTCAGCCGCCACGACCTCACCAAAGTCCTCTACGACTCTTTCACTCCTCTCCAGAAGAGCCAGATTCTCACCGACAAGAGAGTCGCCGACATCATCCCCAGCGAAACCGGCGTTCAAGTCTCCTGCGATGATGGAACATCTTACGAGGGATCCATCGTCATTGGAGCAGATGGCGCCCACAGTTTCGTCCGCAACAAGATGCGCTCCCTTGCCCAAGACGCAGGATCCGACAATGTCAACGACGAAAAGCCCTTCCTGACCACATTCCGAGCTCTCTGGCTGCGCATGCCTACCAAGTTCGCGGGCATCGAGCCTGGCACAACTTGCGAAACTCACGGTCCTGGTGCGGCAACCCAGCTCTTTGCTGGCGAGGATTCTTCCGTCATGGGTCTGTATGAGAAGTTGGATACGCCTACTCGCGATCGAATCCGATACACAGAGCAGGATCAGGTCGATCTCGTTGAGCGATGGGCACACATCCCTCTTGCGCCCGGAGGCAAACTCACCCTCAAAGATGCCTTCAACGCTCGCACTCAGTCTGGCCTCGTCAGTCTCGAAGAAGGCGTCGTCAACCACTGGAGCTGGGGCGGTCGTGTCGTTCTCGCAGGTGACTCGGCTCACAAGTTCACCCCCAGCACAGGCGCCGGTTGCAACAACGGTCTCATCGACGTTGTCGCCCTGGTCAACCAGCTCTACGCTCTTCATCAGAAGTCACCCGCCCCAACTCATGCTCAACTCGCTACCGCCTTCCAGTCGTACCAAGCTTCACGCATGGATCCCGTTGTTGAAGCTTGCCGTGGCTCGGGCCAGGCGACTTCCAGCGCCACTTGGCAGACTGGCGTGTTCAAGTTCATCGACAAGCATATCATTGGCATCACAGCCATTCAGAACATGCTGTTTGGACTGGGTGCACCCAAGATGGCGCAGTCGCCTAAGTTGACCTTCATCAAGGGGCCGGAGAGACACGTTGGCAAAATTGCTTGGGCGGAGCCGCAGGAGAACAAGGTTTACTAATAGACAGTCAATTCGGGACGATTTCTTTTGACTTGTACTTGTAGCTGCTTTTAGATGATTTAGCGAAGGGTGTTAGACGGTAGACTTAATGAGCAATCTCATATCTTCAATGGAATGCGATGACAATTTTCTGTGAACAGTGTAACATCTTGGCATGCCCAGTGGGAGGAACCAAAGGCCCAGATCTAGCCCGGTAAGCGACCTAGAACCCCAAGTTGTTAAGGTAGAAGTCCATTGAGAACATCGCAGACTCGTCCTGTTCAGCTTGCAACTGTATCCGGATACTGCTTGTTAGTCGTGTCCAAAGGCCGTCGAATCTTGTCGAATGCTCACGCGAGACGGAGCTTTACATTGACGAAAAGGATGGAAATTGGCGAAAGGCGTAAACGTTGAGGATTAAAAATGCTAACGGCTCCGGACGACGCCTCCAATAACGTCGTTTGATCTCGGCAGATTGATAATCTCATTTAGCTAAGGCAGTAACTGATCCAGCACCATCGCCACTGTAAATTGACGTGATCTGTTAGTGTTACAACACGCTTGACAGCCCCGCAAACGTCATCGGCAGAACCGAGCTTACAAATTTCATCACGATGACAAATGAATGACAGTGGGATACCAACAAATAAAAGACGGAGTTTTTACGCAAGATCCCGAATTAAATTACCGGTAATTGGATATAAGAAACAGCCGTAGGTCGATTCGACTTCCCCATCTTCAAATCCTAAGCCTGCATGTCACGACTTCTCAGAACAAGACCCATTCTCAAACAGGTCGTCAACCCCGCTCAACTCAGACCTTTTCACTTCACAGCCACCAAAATGACAACCGGACTCTTCAACTACATCGATCCGACATCGAGTCTTGACGACAACGGAAACAGAGTCAAGCCTTGGGCTAAAGTCGACGTTGACCAAACTTCTTTCGAGCGTAGCCAGCACAAGCGCGACGTCGTGGACATCCGCAACGCCGCTAGCATTACCGCTTTCGGCGTGGACGTCTCTGGCTTCGATGTCTTCAAGTCCCCCGCCAAAGAGCTCGAGTTTACTGACGACGCGGCTGTGAGGAACGGATACTATGGCGAAGTCGAAGCGCTACTCAAAGAGAGGATTCCTGAGATCAAAAAGGTTGTTATCTTTGATCATACCATCCGCAGAAGGGACAAGTCGAGTCCCAGGCAGCCTGTGCAACAAGTCCATGTTGATCAAACCCCCGGCGCTGCTGAAGCTCGCGTGAGACGACACACCGATCCTTCAGAGACAGAAGAGCTTCTCAAGGGGCGGTACCAAATCATCAACGTCTGGCGACCAATTGGCCATCCGGCAACAGACTTCCCCCTCGCAGTCGTGGACTATCGCACCACCAAGCCTGAAGACATGATCAAAGTTGATCTCCTGTACCCCAAGCGTGAGGATAATGACGACGATGACCGTGGAAAGGAGGTGCTCCCTGATGCATCGACACTTCGCTCAACGGAGGGCTATCAGATCAAAGGCGAGACATATTCTGTTGCCCCAAATGACGGCCATAAGTTTTACTACGCCAAGGACATGACGCCTGAGGAGGTCATGCTTATCAAGTGCTTTGATTCAAAGAGTGAGGTTCACGAGGGCGGTCAGCATGGTTTGGCGGGATATACGCCTCACACTGCGTTTGTCGATCCTGCTACGCCGGCGGATGCGAAGGGACGGCAGAGTATTGAGGTTAGATGCTTGGTATTTTACTAGAAACAGCAGTGGATGGTTGGACCCAGAAATTATACATAGCTTTATTTATTAATGACCATCATGAGATTTTTAACTAAACTGTTGGCTCAAGTCAGTGAAATTATTGGCAGCATTCAGTTTGGTGATGGGACAATTGTGAATGGCATCTCTTGCGTCGCGAAGATCTGACTTTCTTTCTTTTGTACTAGCTATCAGGTACAAACTGAGAGCCAACAGTTCCAGACTTCGACACTCGCTTCCGTTGTGCATTCCCTATCTCAATCTCTCTTCCCTGGCAGGTTTTGGAGTCCCTCTTCTTGTAGACGTGCTTCGTTGGTCGTGGTTAGGGAGTAAATCCGTCGAAACAGTTCAAGTTCCAAAAGCCTGCCCCTGCTCCCCAACAGCTTCGCTAATTCTTAGACTCAGATGCCTCTTGGACTTCCTTGTCGTCTTCGCTGTCATGCTCGACTTCACAATCGTTGCCTTTTGCCAATTCGTCCAGTTCATCAGCTCGATCCTCGATTTAACCTCGAGCAGGTTCCTTTTCGTGGCGAACGAGAACTTTGACAAACTCAGTCATATCAAAACGTGGATCGAGCTGACACATCTCACATATTTCGTCATGGGTACAGTCCTCGCAAAAAGCAACCGTCCGAAGTGCCCAAACACGCCAGAGAAATTGTAGCATGGCTGAAGCCTCTGCTGGCTTACCCGGAAAGAAGCCAAAGTATTCATTATCAACTTCCACGTATGCATCGTCGTAATCATGAAAGACTAGTCATGTCGTCTTTCACCCACCAATGTGGCCCCCAACGAGCAGCCTTGTTGAGAAGATAGATATACGGCGCATTGCCACGGCCCCTCATGCAACCTTCAGCCCAAGTCGCAAACAGGCCTCGCGATGACTCTTCCTCCTTGAGTTTGTTCCAGCTCTTAGGGAAAGCATCAAGCCAACTGGTGTTGAACTCAAGGACAAGATTGAACGAGTGCAGTAGGACGATTTCCTGGCTATTGGGACAGGGAACATGAAGTCGAGGAGCCTGCATAGTGACTGGTAAATCCCCTCTGTCGAGACTCTTGATGCAAAATAGGTCTCGGTTTGGCATGACCATAAAGCGCTCTGCATGCTCTTGGTTGCGAGAAAAAAGGCAGGTAGGAAGAAAAGGCTCAGGCTTACGGGCTGAGCTTTCAAGACCTGGTCGCTCCTCCAATTCTTCATACCGCGGCTTCCAGGGGTATAGTTGGCAAGCCTTACTGAGGCACTCATCCAAGTCGAGGAGGTCGAGGTCTTTTTCTTGAATATACCCCCAAATGTTTAGTTTGAAATGCCTGGAGATGAACTCCCTTGACTCTCTGCAAGCTTTCCAAAGACCAGCGTCCCACATATAGGCAGATCTATTTGCGCGTCCGACAACCCCCTGGAGATTTGACGAGGTCTGGAAATCGGGATGAAGTGCCTTCATCTCCATTGCGGTCATCTGCGTGATCAATTCCCCAGATATCTCGTTGCCCCCAATGGATTCTAGATTGATGTAGTGGAGGCCGCGTTTGGTGGCTGCGTAAGGGAAACAAGCTGCCTTCCAGATCTTGAGTCGAAGTTCTGTTGCGAGGTTCGGGAATGAGTGGAAAGTTGTGGGAGGTATTTCTTCGGCGGACAGGGTTGGCATCTCTTTCATTTGCTTGAGCCCAACACCGTGATCAGGATCTTCGACAACCATGGGTTGCGTCATGATAGCTGTGCGCTGTTAGACTTATGATATGAGTGCAATCGTTCAGTATATGTCTTACCAGTGCACTTGATGAGTCTTGATAGAATAATTCAGAGGATATGGTAGAATGGAAATGTGTTGGAAGGGGATTGTCGAAAGTCGAAAGTCGAAAGTTGGAAGTTTGAGGAGTAATGAAGGGTGAATAGCAGGGTTTTGTAGAGTGAAGGCCTTTACTTGATGAACAGTACCACGTGATGGATTTCTTCTGACAACCGCAGGGCTCGTGGTAGCTGTGGTAATGGCCAGTGTTTGCTGAGCGATAAGGTGACTTATACGTGGAATGGGGAACAATAGGTTGGGCAGTGCCAGTGCTAGAGTTACACTTGCACATTATGGAATTCAATGAACAAGCAATTTCTAAGGTACATGTTCTGAAATGAGCTCTGAATCGAGATTTGTAACTGCAAACAGCGTATCTAGTTGGGAACTTCAATGGCTAGCCAATCTTGAAAAAGCAATAACCGGGGAAGGATGTGTTAACCAGGCCCTCAAAGTGTTCTCGCAGATAAAGTCGATGTGAACAAAGGCTACGGAGAAGATGGATGACTCGTGAAAAACACATGAGCTTGAGCTATTGTGAACAAAAACAGCTTGTTTGGATGATTCGTGCTTCAGATTATCCCGATGGGATATTCGCAAATTTACAGAATTTGAGCAAAACTTCATAAACTAACGTGAACTATCACGAAAGTTCACTGGGCAGTGCGTCCTCAGTTCATAACGCTACGTCAATCTACCAACAGTATATCACCAAAAGGATGACTTAAGGGTAAAATATTTGACAGTCAGCGGTGGGTGGCTCTGTTGGCGTTGCTAGAAAGAGTCATTGTCTCTCCAAACACACTGCCTGTGAAACTATCAATTGCTAAGTCCTTGAAGTGAATTGGACCTCCAAACAGCTCTCGTTCTTGATTGGCTTGTCTTCCCTCAGACAGACGATCCTTGTGGCACTGTTATAGTCACTGTTCTGCCACTGCGAGATGTAAACAGACGGCAATGATTTGTTTATACCCGCAAGGCGTATGACCCACATCCATTCCTTTTCTCTTCTCTTCTCCATCCTTTCCTCCTCCAACTTCACTCTTTTTCAAAATACCTTCATCACAATCACATCAGTTCACGAGATGTCTGCAACAACCTTCCACCCGTTTCCCGATCTGCCGATGGAAATCAAGCTCCAAATCTTGATGACAGCTTGTACCGAATCCACTTTCCCCGGGCATCTCTCCCCGGATCAAGGAGGGCTGCATTATGTCAACGTCGACACCATCAGGACTGGAGGGGGAGACCTACTCACTCTCCGAGTTCTTGACAAGCAAAATGCTAACTACGATGCGGGAAATAAGTCAGAGTACATGAGAAATGGCGGTCTGTGGGGGGCATGCAAGCTGTCAAGGGCAATTATCACTGTCAAGACCATTTTCATGCGTCATAAGCTTATTGACGCCCACGAGCACGACGTTGGAAGTCTCGCCATCCTGCCAAGTCGAAACAGCGACGAGCCACACGGGTACATGGTTTATCCCCAGCAGGATATATTCTGCATCCGAACGGCGGAGTGGAAATCCCTCCCTGAGAGCTTGGAACAGTGCAACACAGGCCTCCCCTCTTTTGATCCCCTCTCCTCCGCCATCGTTCCGACGCGAACTCTTGCCATTGAGTTTGATTCTAGCTGGATTGTTGACCTCCCCGAGAAACTTGAAGACCTAAAGGCTGAGAACTCAGCTCGTGGTGTGGTGGCCACTTGGATGGAAGGCGTAGCCAGCGGCCGGGTCCAAACACCTCAGCTCTACCTAATCGACAAGGGCACACTTTTTGTTTCGCAAACTCCCGGCTACAGTCCCGTCTATCACGACTGCGACGGAAAGTACATCCGTATGTATGAGGAGTGGTGCGGTGATGCCGTCTATGCATTCATCCATGCTCTGGACCAGCTGCTCCCTTTTGAGGAGTACGGCGACTTATACCACGAAAACACCCCAGACAGCTGGGATGAGGATGCCGAGCAGTGGCTTGATTTTGACATCTTTAGCAATATCAAAGTCCTTGCTCTCTTCAAGTACGCAGATCACAAGGAAGCCAGTTGGACAGCTGTTTGCAACGACCTCTCCAACGATGATGTCCGGGGCTCTGAACACGCCATCACATCCTACGGCAGGGTGTATGACCTGAACTATGACGACGATGTCGGCTACTGCGCGGGGGAACTCGGCAATCCCCGCGCATGGTCCTCTGACGACGACGACGACGACGACGAAAGCGGCAGCGATGACGAGATGGGTCGAGTTGAGTACGTCAAGCTCTTCTAGCTGGAGTTATGGGGTAGATGCCAAAGCATGGGAAACAGTACCTAAATATGGTAAATGCAGTCGATAGATCAAGAATGAACACAAATTGGCTGTCTCGAATTATTCTAGCTTCCCATGCTTATCTCCATGCAGTAAATCAACCCAACATTGGCCTCAAACATCGTGAATTAACAATCAGCTTTGGAAAATGCTTCCTAAACTTTCAGAAAGGCACGCGCCCGGATTGATTTGTCACACAATACAATGAGGCATTTGCAAAGATTTTGAGTTGTATTAGACCTTGATATATGATATTCAGCTTCTGTTTGTAAACGTGACCCCAAGGCACGCCAGACACCCTCCATCAAATGCTTGTTGTTGCCTTTCCCCTGTATCGTCGAGGTGGATAACCGCACCCCATTTAATAGCTCTGCCGCTCCAGACTTGACAGCCGATGAATCAAGTATGAAAGCATCGTACGGTTTTGTGCCACTCAATGCCGTCTCGACCTCCCTTGCCCGCTTGCAAAAGAGCTTGCACTGGTCTTTAATAGCAAGAATACTCAAGACTTAAAAAGAAGATGCCAGAATGAACCTATTAAAGAGTCTCCTAAGTTTAGTAAAAACATCCCTAAACTTAGGATAAAATACCTAAATACTTTTATCTCTTAGGGTCAAGATCTTGAGTTTTTTGCTTCCGCTACCTGTCCCTAAATGCTTATGGCTACCCTGCATGAAGTGGTGATGGTGGCCACATTACAGCCCCACATTTTATGGTTCTGCCACCACAGACCGATTTTGCCACTCCGATTGGTCTGGTCCCTTCCCGTCGTCAACTCCCCCACGTAAATTTCCATCCCCACCAACTCTTCCTATCCATTATCGAACCATCATGGCCAAGACAAAGTCCAAGAAGCGCAAACAAGCGCAAGCTCAAGCCCAATCCGATAACCCTCGAAAGATTGCGAAAACTACCTCCCCTTCAATCCCGACGCCGCCTCCCGATGGCACGACCACGCACTTCGAGCCCAAGAACCTCCACACCGTTGTGTCCGAAGAAGAGCTCGAGATTACCATTGATACCCTCAATTCGCTCGCCCAGTACCCCGGCTTGATCAAGTCAAAACTTTGCAAGGACTTGAGAGTTGCTGTTTACGACTTCAGACAAGCTTGCACGACGGGTGTCAACAATGCTGCTGGCGCGAACCTCACGGCGCAGGTCACTGCTGCTCTTGCCGATCGGAAATACACAGAAGCTCGAATTCTTCTCGCGGAGATGAAGATTCGTAGCGAACAGCCTAAGCTTGGTGCTCTTTGTCGATGGGTGCGAGATCTTGATGTCATCAGTGGCCTCTCGACGATTCCCGATCAGCAAGGTCTTGTGAAGCGCTCTGAGAGGGAAGAGACACTCATCAAGGTCATTGATGCGGTGCTTCGAGTCTGCGGCCACGAGGACCGAAACCCCAATGCCATCATCCAGCCCTCATCAATTGCTCTTCAAGAGATCTGGGATCTTCGTCCCGATACTCCAACAGAGCAAGTCTACGCCTCGGTCCTCGATGGAAGTCTCGTTGCTTCGGCACCCGAGTCTCTCAAGAAGAACATTCGCATCATCGAAACAACACCTGGTCCTGAGCGCAAGCCACCGAACCATCATGACGCCATACTTTACGCTTCGACACCCGAAGCTGTTCCTCTGTCGACAACACCCCCGCCTACAACACATCGACCGCATCCTGTCGTGCAAGGCCTAAGCGTCGCCACCAATGTTCTCTATCCCGAAGAGTGCAAGGCTATCATTGCCGCGGGTGAATACGTAAATTTCGTGCCTGATGCGCCACTTCGAGAAGACGGGGACATCAGTATTCTGGCGCACAACTTTTACTGGGTTGTCGACAAGACGTTCCACGACACGCTATGGTCGCGCATCCAACCATTTGTGCCGGTGTCAATGAACGGGCGTTTGGCTCGCGGTATCAACCGCCGCTTCCGAGTGTATCGGTAGTAGGTTCTCAGACCCTTGACTCCATTCGCACCACTAACATCCCGCAGTGTCCCAGGAGCAGAGTACCGAGCACATATCGACGGCGCGTGGCCACCGAGCGGCATTACGAAGGACGACAAATACGTATACGACGACTCGCCAGCCGAGAAGAAGCAGAGCTCGCTCTTCACATTCTTGATCTATCTCAACCAAGATTTCGAGGGTGGCGAAACCACATACTTCCTCCCGGCTGCACGTGAAGGAATTCTGAATGCATACCCCGTCCGTCCAGTCATGGGCGGCGCGGCCATCTTCCCTCACGGCGAGATCAACGCGACATTGCATGAAGGTACCGGTGTACGAAAAGGAGCGAAATACGTGATCCGAACCGAGATTGAATACGATGTCGAACCGACGGAAGAAGTCAAGATCTGAATGGAACGCAAGGTCGGGTACAAACAAATTGGATATATGAACGGCTGGACCGGGGAAAAGTATTGTTACGCTATTTACGTCTAATGAACATCATTGATCAACTACTCTGTCGCTGTAGTCTCACCCTCGGCTGGCTTGCGTCCCCAAACAATACGTTGCAGGTAGTAAGCGTGCGCCGGCTTCTTGGACTTCAACTCCCTCCTCAGCTGGGTGCAGTACAAATGGACCTGTTCCTGGGTCCACCCCTCAAGGAGC